GGTTCATCCACCCCAGAGGGAATTGAGCTCCAAGATGAACCTCTATCCGAGGAATTTCCAGCAGCATATTCCATTCTCCTCTCGGCGCGTCTGTACAAATGTTGCTCAGGCGTGCATGTTATGAATGCGTGCAGCATCTAAACATGACAGCGAGTGCAGCACGAGTGAAAGGAGGGGTGCGGGGGCTTGCCTCGTGCTGAATAATGGCTCTGTCCTGGTGCTCATTTGCAGGCATGGCCGACTGCAGCAGCAGCTCTGAGACAAAGGCAGAGAGGGGTGGGAGGGTCTGAGTGAGAGACCGCAGAGGCCAGACGAGCGGAGCAAAAGTATACAAGTCGGGAGTGCTGACTGCTGAAAGCCTAATTCCCTGCTCATTACACCAACCTCAGAACCACATGAAATTAACTATATCTACAGTCCCGGGGCTCACAATGGTCCCAGTCTTTAGTTGTCCATCGCGCGCAGTACGAGAGCTGTCACAGTTGTGACTAAATACAAAAGAAATATGAGCTAAAGAGACGAACCAAAAAAGGAATGAGTGCAAATGTGGACAACTGAATAAATAAATAAAAACAACGAAACCAAACAAGTGAATTCCTGCGCACACGCATGTGTTATGATTTATGAGGCGAAGGCCTCATTGTTTGCTTTTTTTTAAATTACATTTTCAATACCAGCAGAATATTTGTCATACACTAAAATGGCTGAAATCACCTTTGATGTATCAATAAAGGACCACGTGACGACATTAAGGTTCAGCGTCTTTTCCGCTCGTTGTTGTGGTGCCACTTCACTGTTTTGGTTCCCTCTTTACGGCTCCACTTCGGCACTGATCCCGGCGAAGCCAGTGTTGATACTCCAAACAAGACGAGTATTAAAACAGACTTGTGAACCTATACTTTAAGAGGGAAATAAATGAACTCACTAAAGAAAGCCAGACCGATGTCAAGGGACACTCCCCAACATGATGGCCAAACCACACAGAGACCACTGAGGTTGACGTGACGCCGACTCATAAAAGGACACATCCACGTACGGAGCCCAAAACCATTTACAAAAGAATCAGAGGAAGAGGGGGAATAGAGCGAGCCAGTCCTGCTGCTTCCATCCCACATCACATCCTCCCTCAGTCCCATCATTAGCTTGTCTTGTTCCGGGGGTGTAGAAAGAGCCATCAGTGTAAGACTGTAATCAACCTGTCACCGTCTGGGACTGCATCCAGTTTTAAATAAACAAACAAGAGATGAGTTGGGCTCGGTGCTCATGACAAACCAAGCGGCATGGCGTCGATATTGGGAGTTTTGGGTGAAAGGAAAAAGTGAGGGGAGATAAGAGATAAGGAGGAAGGAGAATGAAGGTTGGGTGGCGCGGGTGGGTGGGTGGGGGGGATGAAAGCCGCAGACGGCCCTGTCAACACCAGCCGCCTTTAGGGAGGCCTTTTGCCAGCCCTGATTACAGAGCGAGGCCTGGACCTGGAGCAGCAGAGCCGGCTAGCATAGCCACTGGCATCTAATCTCTCATCAGCATCCGCTGCCAGAAAAGCAGATGCTAGTCGCGTTAACGTCAGACACAGCGGCAGGCTGAGCTCACCGTCACCGGATTACACATTTTGTTTACCCTGTGTTTGAGCGGGACATATGGACAGTCAAACATCAGACACACACACTGACTATACAGGTGCAAACAGGCCACGCTGCAGTGCCAGGGTCCACTGTGCTTTAGGAATATTTAAAGATGGAACAATGGCGTCATTGTAGGCATTTCTACACCGTTTTGAACATGACTTGAATAAATATTTGATTCTGAGGGACCAAAAAATGTCCATCTGAAGTTATTTCCCCTCCTTTAAACAATATGGTGAGGTAGTTCCACTTCCACAGGTTTGTGAGGTTGAGAACATTTACACAAGTGAAATTTGTTAATTTTCAGTGCATATGCTTATCCCAGGCTTTATTCTCACGGGTCACAATAAAACCTGATGTCTAATCCCAAATTAAAAGGTAGGTCAATCGCATTGCCGTATTGGAAGTGGGGGATGCGGGTTGATGGCTGATTCCCCAGCAGTGAGATTGGGGAACGGCCAACTCACTCTGATCAGGATTAGCTGAATAGATCATCGTGGGTTTGGGGCGTATAATCTGCCTGGACCCCCTTCATCCAGTTTTGAACGGGAGATTTCATGGAAGAGTCTGGAGACAGACGACAAATCCAGAATAAAGATAAGCACAATCTGTGTCTTCTGAAAAACAAACAGGTGCTGAATTGATTCAGCCAGACTTGTCCTCTGAGAAGCATGACTCAAGCTTTTTTTAAAAAAATGCAGCGGCATTAGCACAAGCTGGATTTCACTGAGTGGGCACATTTATTGCAGGTGCTTGAGAAGACAGCGGCGGTGGCTTCGGCGGTTCTGCTTCATCGAACACAAGCGTCATTTAAAGCTGTAATTCCAGCTCTGCTTTTGTGTGCCAGCAGATAATTTGAATGGCTGTGGTTTCTACGAGAGAGCGGAGAGCAGTTGTCATGAATATATGCGGATATGGATTAAAGATTACGGTAAGTGCTTTGGTACAGAAAGGAAAGGAGGCGGAGGAAAGACGAGACAAAGAGGAATGGGGGGAAGATAATCAAAAGGAATGGTCGATGCAGCAGAGGCCAAGATATCCTTAAACTTGCATTCTTTCTAATAGCCAGCAGGGGGCGACTCCTCCGGTTGTATAGAAGTCTATGAGAAAATGACTCTACTTCTCTCTTGATTTATTCCCTTCAGCAAACATTGGGAACATGAGTTTATGGTCTCAATCTTGAACAATAAAACAAAAATAAAGATCTACTGAAAAAGTTCAAGCAGTTTTGCGTCTTGAAACCAAAAGAAAAAATGAACAGAAGTACTCTAATGACGTGCTTTTCCCCCTTCTAACCACTACAGTATGTACATAGCTGTAAGCCTTACAGTCAGAGCCACGTTAATACTCTCACCCAGACGTGGACCTCGTAATCGCCGTCACTGGCAGACGCACGTTAATGACCGAGGGATCGGATCGCCGCTACACAGCCGCATGCAGGATCACAAGAGCAATCTCTCTTTCCAGCACAATGTCGGTTTCCCGCAACAACTGCTCCGTTTGGCTTGAAACGGTAGAAAACACGGTGACATCTGCTTGTTTAGCTGTTTGCTTTAAACAAATAGTAATTAGATTTAAGACCGAGGGAAATCGAATCACCCAAATCCGTGGCTTTCTGTTTAAAGGTTAGCAGATACTCGTGCGTCTCAGGCTCAGTCCGCCAAGTCAATCGCATACCGTTCATGTCATTTCATCATATTTATGATTATTAGATGAACTAATTTTCTTGAGACCAATTTGATCGTCAAAAAGCTCCTTTGTTCTGCATTTCATTTTTATTCCCACTCATTTGAATTTACTCAATAACAAACATGTTTTCATAAAGACGAAGCTGTCAAACTCTTTCGCTGCTGATCAGAAGCTGTTGTCACGACTCGGGTGTCAGAGGTCAAAGGTCAGTCTGTTCAGAGCAGCTAGACAAGACACAGACGCTGATCCTCTCCATCCCCTGAGAATCCCTCCGCATATAGACACCACAGCAGGACTCACTCAAACTAAAGCTTCAAGGCCATGTCGGTCTGTTGCTGGTTCAATCCCTTTAGTTCAGCACTAAACTCAGCCTTTATTAGCACGGTCAACCACGTCACTGCATCAGAAATGTCTTTGTATAAAGATTACTCTCAATGAGGGAGTGATAAAGCCACAGTTGAGTATTTATTTACAGTAGCACTAGAGTCACACGCCAGATAAAATCAACTCCATTCATGTTTTGGGGAAAAAGCAACTATTATATTGAGATCATTACCCCGACAACACAGCCACTCGACACTATTCAGAGAGTGCCGACTGTACCGAGGCTGGTGAAAAGCACTTCCTAAAGTGCATTAAAACCTGGAAGTGGTTTGTGAAAGTGCAGCTTTTCCTCGTCTGCAACCGCCAAGAACCAAATAGCGGGGCTGCTCATTTGCCAAGAGAGAGCCTCACGCCATCTCAATGACCAGCTTGCAATCACAAAGCACAACCAATAACATATGCACGCACACACACACACACGGGGAATGTCCAATAGCCTTCCTCGTGCAGCAGCCGGACCGCCACTGGATAAATATGAACTATGATGGGCGGAAACTGGTTCTTCCTTTCTACCACCCAGCAGGATGGCCTCTCTGGGTTCATGTCGTCTCTCACATTTCTATGCATGCATAGAATGTGGAGGCGTACACACACACACACACACACACACACAGCCTCCCATGCTGACAGACTAAAGATGGCCTGTGTGTCATTCCCCTCTGATAAAAGCAGAACACAGGGAATTCCTCAAATGTGAAATATGCCCCAAACAGGCCCTTATAAAACAGAGACGTCATTTTGAGGAGAAAGAAATAGACAGGAAGTGGAGGGACTGTGCGTGCATGTGTGTTCGTGGGGGATTTGAGGGGTGAGAACGCAGAAAACTGTTTTTATGGACTTAAATAAATGTGTGCCCGTCTGAGGGCGTGTGTATCGTGGCACATGTATCAACTCCCTGCCAGGGTGTGTGTGTGTGTGTGTGTGTGTGTGTGTGTGCGTGAACGCTCCAGCACGCGTGTGCCCGGCTTTACACTAACCACAGGGTGTAGCCGTGGGCTTTGAAGTCGTCCAATGCACCCTGGGCTGAACTGAAACACAGGCTACTGTACAAGAAACCCATATGACACCACGGAAAAGTCACAACATGCTTTTTACTCACAGGGAACACAGCCCTCCATAGTCCCCTGGTGAAACTTCAGTGGGTAGAAAAACAGCAGAGAAGTATTTACATTATATATTGGTCATGGAGTCTTTCTTTCTCTCTTCAGCGGATCACTGAGAGGGCAGGTTAACAACAAGGAAAGGTAAACGGCTGTAATTTGTCGGAGGGATGTCCCCGTTTCTAAGC